TTTAAATAGTCATTAGAATGCAGGTCATATAAAAACTCTAAAGAAGAAGTAAAAATGACTTGAGCACCAGGTAAACACTGCCATTCTGTGCTTTCTGTCATTGAGCTTTTTAGAGTGTTTACGGCAGGTGTTTTCTAAAGTTTTTGAGACAGTGATGCAGTCTAGTTTGTGATGCAAATATTCTTTGGCTTTAATCTTCTAAATACTGTCTGGTGGTTTTCTTTCATAAACCTTGTATGGTTACAGAAGGTCTGGAGTCCCAAGTTGGCTTCAGGCAGGTGACAGTGACCTCGATGGCACAGGAAAACATTTGCACACAGTCATTTTCATCACTCCACCACATAAGCATCAGGCCACCCTGCAGACATTGTCCCAGCTTTTCTGTATGTTGTGAGTATGCCCAGGAGAATTTATTCCTCATTCAAAGTGGAAGAGCATATGAGAATACCTCAATAGGTGAGATGCCAGGAAACATGGAGGGCCATCTATTGGTGATAGATCCCACTGAGACTGCAAAGCATGACTTCCAGAGAAGGTCATCTTTAAAGGGATTGATTCCCTCTATAGACTAAAAGTCGTAAGTGTTCATAGTTTGTTTATTGTTTTTTAATCCTTCTTGAAATGATACTTGTCTGTCATCAACTGTGACTGACTTAAGTTTCAAGCAGGATTCTGTTTAAAAGTCTTGGCAGGGAGGCACCCCTGGATTCATGCCTTCTTACTAGATACCCACATATAGGTCAGTCATTACACATTGAGTTTTTGTACTAAGGTGAAGGGTTGGATGTTTTTATGACAGCATAGACTCAAAAAGAGGTTAAGATCTCTGGACCTATCAGTGCTACTGCTCATCCTTCCTTCCTTCTCTCCCTCCTTCCCCCTCCCTCCCCCCTCCCTCCCCCCTCCCTTTCTGTTTTCTTCCCTTCTTTATTCCCCCATCCCTCCTTCCTTCTCTACCCCCCCCCCACTTCTCCTTCCCTCTGCTCATCCTCTTTTCTTCTCTCCTTCAAGACAAAATCCATACTGGTCTAGAATTTACTTTGTAGCCAAGGGTGACTTTGATCTCCTGATCTTCCTGCCTCCACTGCCCCAGTGCTTAGTCCACATGAGCTACTGTGCAGGAGTGTAGTGTTTGGGAGCACATGTGGAACACCAGAGGACAACTTTGTTGTCATCTTTCTTTCCTTTAAGTGGACACTGGGGATCAAATTCAAGTCCTCAGGTGAGCTAACTCATAGCCCCTATTAAATATTTTATCTTAAGGCTATTTTTGTGGTGAGTTTTCAGGAATAGTAATGCCTGTCTTGGTGAGGGTGTGGCCTTTCAGCATGACACACTGAGTGATACCCTGCAGATCTGACTGTTGTACTGTATTTAAACTTTACCTCTTCCAAAAGAATGCGACAGATACTAAACTTTGATAACTGATGTCTCATTTTAAAGAATTTAAAATTTAAGGACACTCCTCCTGATTTCTCAGTTAACTTAAAATGTGTGAGAAAAATGTGCTATGATAGATACAGAGGTATGTCATAAAACCAATTTTTTTGACAATGTGGAGTATTGTAGGCCTCAGTGTTGAGGATGTAGATAATTCTCAAAGGAGGAGTTCAGCTTTCTGTGCGATTAGAAACTTGAAATGTCGGCGGGGTCAGGGTGAAGTCTCAGCCATCAGATGCTGTGTGACTGCGTTAAGGCATAATCTCTGAGTGCTCTTTCTCACGTAGAGTTCATCCACTGCTGGTGGCTGATTCTAGATGCTCCTGGCTCACTGTTGATGGGCTGTGTCAGCCATGATTAAAGTTGGAATAAGGATGCTAGTGGGCATCCTGGAAGAGTCATCACAGTGTCTTTTTCTTCACATGACCTACTTACAACCTGTAGAGTTACATATCCCCATACAGAAAACCTCACAGTAATGACCGCGGATTGTTGACTCTCACTTTTACAGTCTGGACTCTGTAGGCCAAATGAAAGCAGCTCAACTCCTTTGGGAACTTGATACTTAAGCCTCAAACATAACTCCTTGTCATTTTAGATTCTTAATTAAAAAAAATTCCTCTTCCATGATAACTTTCAACTCACATCTTCCTTTCTGTTGTTCCTTCTCCTTGCCTTCTGGAAGTAGTCGGGAGATCTGTAGTGCTGGGACACATCTTAGCAGCATCAGGTATGAGTCTGTCAAGCCTACTGAGAGGTGATCACCACACAAAAATCAGACAGCACTCTATACTGAAAGCTTGGGTGTCCCCATTTTCCTCCAGTTGATGAACCATGGAAATTAGAGTTATCTTACCATGTCCAGTGCTATGGGCTGATATAGGTGGTTGGAGTCACACTGTGTGATCTTACCATGTCCAGTGCTATGGGCTGATGTAGGTGGTTGGAGTCACACTATGTGATCTTACCATGTCCAGTGCTATGGGCTGATGTAGGTGGTTGGAGTCACACTGTGTGATCTTACCATGTCCAGTGCTATGGGCTGATGTAGGTGGTTGGAGTCACACTGTGTGGTCTGCATTTGAGGCAGGGCTGTGCTTGGAAAGAAGACAACCTGCAATAAAACTCAGCTTAGTAGTACAATTTCTTAATGCCAGCCAACTCAGTTAAAAAATAGTTGAAAATAACATATTCTCAGGCAGTCTTTTTTTCTTTTTTATTAACTCACTCTCTCTCTCTCTCTCTCTCTCTCTCCCCCTCTCTCTCTCTTCTTTCTTTCTTTTTTCTTTTTTTTTTTTTTTTTTTGTGCCAGGATCTTACTGTGTAGCTCTGGGACTCATTTTATAGACCAGGCTGGCCTCAAACTCACAGAGATCTGCCCTGCCCCTGCCTCCCAAATGTTGGTATTAATGGTATGTATCAATATGCCTGGTCCTCAGACATTCTTTTTTCTTTTTATTTTTTTTTAATTAATTAATTTATTTATTTTTTATTTTTCAAGACAGAGTTTCTCTGTATAGCCCTGGCTGTCCTGGAACCCTCAGACATTCTTGACAAACATTTTTATTGCGGTTGTGAACTATGTCTCATGAATATTATTTTGTACAAATATGTTTTCTTATATAAATATAAGAATGCCATATCTGAAGAGCAAAGAGAATCATTTTTATAAAATGTGCCTAATAAAAACATGTCTTATTTATTTTCAGTATTTTTCTTAATGATTTTAGCTTTTTCATTTATATTTAACAATGCTTCTAAGAGCATTCATTATGCAGAGTGAGACTTGGGGGGACCATAAACCTGGCACAAAAGTAGATTATCAGAATAAAACAAAATAACACTCGCAGTCAAGATGGAGGTAACATTTTCAGCCAGCAGAGTAATGCAAACCCATAGTAGGGCTTCCTAAGATAATTCTAGCAGATGTTCTCTAAGTTTAGAGAGCATCTGAGAATTTATATGTATCTGTCTAGTATGGCTTCCCCCATCTGTATATAAAAATCTTAATAAAGTGATTTCTATCAAACTGCTTTTTATGATCCAAAACTTACCAGGAAAGGAATAAAATCCCATGGGCACATTGCTTGCTAAGGTCGCTACACATCAACTTCAGGAATGAGAATGCTACATGTGAGGCAACTGCAGTCTAATGCTATGACTATTAATGTATATATGTAATCTGCTTCTGTAAACAGGTTCTAGCTTGTCATACTGTGGTTAAGTAAAATAATCCAGATAACTTGAGCTGCACACGTGGGCTTTTTTGTAATTCTGGTCAAAATGAGACAGGAGGCAATATTCAGAAAACCAGATTTTATTTTTGCGCTTTTATTTTTGAAAAATCAGATCTTTGAATGAAATGGAACGGTGACAGTAAGTGAAATGAACTTGGTAACTACCGAAGGAAGAGATTGGTACCCTTTGAGTAGAATTTAGCCCCTTTCCATAAATTTACGTAAGAACTAGTTGAATTAAACCCCTTCTTGAGTCTTTCTCAAGAAGTGAAACTGCTATACTAGAGGCTGCTCAGTTCCCATACTTAGCATTTACTTATTTTAATGAAGGTATTTCTGATTGGTATACAAGTTGTGGGAGATAGCAGACTGAATTGACCCCTTTTCCTATTTTTTATTTGCACAGACTTTGGGGTGGGGCTACCAGAACAGCTCTGTTGCAGAGCACATTCTTAGCATGGGCTAGGATGGGTCAGTCCCAGGGTTCTATCTGTGATACTCCAAAAGAAAACAAATCCAAGTGTTAGTGTCCTGATAATGTGACATCAGTCACCAAAATGTTTGCATGGCTTACCACCAGGATGACACGGACTCCTCTGATGTGATGGCAGATAGTGACAGGCCAATTGATAAATTCCATCCAGGCTACAGCCATTTCTGGGTCTTGGTGGTTGATGACTAGAACTGGTTTAACCAGCCTTTGGAGTACCACTGATCAGCCAGTGGCCAGTTAGGGGTGCTGCCTGGCACTCCAGTTGTGCTGTTGAAAAGCTGAGAGGGAACCATTTCTCTCCTGAGCAACAAGGGCATCGAGGTTGATAATGACACTGGAGTGCCCTGACGCTCTTTAAGAATGTGAAAGGACTGTAGTTAAACCTTTGAACGGATAGCAAACCATATTTTCTCTCCTTGATGTCTTCAGAGGACAAATAGGAAACATCTCTCTCTCTCTACCATTTTTGGCGATCACTGAGAGTAATCGTTATGGTGATAGCCATCAGACTTTGTGAATGCACCAGCCATTGAAATCAGCACTTCAGCTCCTGTACCGAGCTTCCTCTTCATGCTGTCATAGCGCTGTGTGCTTCTTTAAAATAACCTCTTTTCAGAAGGGTATCTTCTTTTGTCCTTTTGTGTACTTCTATAGGAGTTTTATTTGCTTATTGTCTTACAGTGCTGATGGTGAAACACAGGCTTAGGCAGGCTTGCTCTTCTACTGAGGCACATATACCCCTAGCCATAGAGTTGGGTGTCTTAATCCAGATTTCTGTCAGTGCAGTATTACTGCACGTGCATTGGCTGCTGTCCCGTGCAGTAGCCGAAATGGACAGTGAGTTCACTTGGCTCGACTACTCTTCTGGGGAGTTCTGATAGTGAACAGTAGCCATAGCTTGTTTTCACCCAGCTTATTGGTTGCCACCTTGTTCCAAGTCAGGGTTCAGCTACTGAGGTGATGGTTCATGTTAAAGGCAAAAGCAAGAGTCAAAAGTGGGACAGGGCTGTATTCTAAGAAGGAGCTGTGCTTTGCCTGAGCCTTGGTTATGGGAGGATAGGTTCTTGTGAGAGACAGGAGTCTAGCAGGGACAGCCACAAATGAGCCTTGCAGCTGCAGTCTCAGCATGGGCTGGCTGGTCACTGACCCTGTGCCTCCAGTGTGTTCAGTCTTGTTACAGCTCCCTATAGTAAAACCTCTGTGGATCTTTGACCTTCAGTCTTTACCTGATTGACTGTGAGCAGCAGTGGCAATGAAGCAGCCGACAACTTACAGCTAGAACTCAGCGTGAATTATGGCAGTTATTTAAAGCTTATATTCATTGGTTTGAATGTTTAGAGTACACATGCATGGGAGTGTAGGAGAGAAGACTTGTTGGATGTTTTCTCCGGTCAGTCCTCATCTTAGTTTTGAGACAGTTCTGGGGCTCACTGATTCACAGAGGGCAGCCAGCTGCTGCACTCCAGGGATTTCCTGTCTTTACTTCCCCAGCACTGGGATAACAAGCTTGTGCTGTTGCCCTTACTTGAATGCTGGGGATGGGAACTTAGGTCCTTATGCTTACACTTTAACTATGAAGGCACCTCACTCCCAGCTTTCTCTCCTCTAATCCTTAAAACAATCCTGACTGCTGTTTCACATAGTAAACTGAGTCACAGAGGTCTGTGGTTAACACTACCTCACTGAGGGAAGAACACGGGCAGAACAGAAAACCATGGCAGCCTAATGGAAGATGATTTATCTCTCATTTAAATAAAGATGATGCATAAACACAGGCCTGCTATGGCCTGAGATGTGTGGTGATTGGTTTGTTAACACATCTGATTTGGAGCGTTCTCTCTCCCCCCAAATAGAGAAAGAGAGCTCTTGCTTGCTAAAGACCCCATTTATCAGTAGGTGACTTGTCACCCCACTTCCCTGCCAGGCCTATAGACACATTTGAGTTTATAACTCTGGTCTAAAAGGTCAGGAGCTGAGAGTTTATTCTTTCTTTGCATGAGCTGAGAAACAAATATTCTCAAACCCTTTTTCCCCTAGGAGATTTTTTCATTTTGCCAATACTTTACAAAAAATATTGCTTGCTTTTAGTTTTAATTCATTTCCTTCTTTCTTGGCTATCCCTGTCAATATATAGAACAACTACTCAGAAAACTGTTAGTTTCCAGGAATACAGTTATTAAAGTCAGCCTTTGTGTCTTGTCTGTAAACCCTTTCTGTACCCAGTCCCATCTCCCTCTGACATCTCAAAGCTCACCGTCAGATCCTCTGCCACATGGGAGTGTCATGACACAGTAAACGTCATACTGCTTCCCTGGCTTTATTCAGTGCACTCTAGAACACTCAAAAGACAAGGGAACAGGAGCTGGGCTGTCTCCATAGGTGTGACTACCAGGGGCCTACACCAATGGGATGTATTTGACTGTCCTCTGTAAACAAGCTTTTAAAATTATTTTGAAGTGTTTTGTCTTCATTTTGAAAATTGATTTAGCAAAGTTATGTGGAAGCTCTATACTATTATTGCTTTTTTTTTCCTGCCCCTTTAAAAAAGAGATGAAAAAAGGAAAGGATTTGAAACAACTACTGTCTGGATTTTTCTTTTTCAGATGCAAAAGAAATTGTTTTAAAAGCCCAGATCTTAGCTGGAGGAAGAGGAAAAGGTGTCTTCGATAGCGGTTTGAAAGGAGGTGTTCATTTAACAAAAGAGTAAGTCTGAATGGTTTAGGTCCCCATTCTGATCTTGACTGAAGGGTTCTGGAACAGGTCCGGGGCTGGGGCAGTGTAAGGTACTGAGAGGAAAGTGAGGCTCTGGCAGGGCCTTGCCTCAGGGCTTCCTTCTCATTAGAAGGTTTTTTATCCTGCACTGAGGAAGATTATGCTTCCTCTCTCCCAGACAATTTGTGACACATCCTAAGAAACAACACTGCTTGCAACTGAAATAGCATTTTCATCATCTCATTTCCATGAAAAAAATATTTTGTGGTTCTTGTGACCAGTGGCGTCTTTGTGGTGTCTGGTCTGATAGTTTAAGCCTGCCTTTATCTGAGCATTTTCCCAGCATCCTGCCCCAGTACCAAACATCATCACAGTCTTTCATTGATTGTGGTCCTTGTTTTCCCTCCCATTGTTTACTGTTTCCCAGATCATCCATTATCAGTTTCTATCTAAGTCTGTTATGCATCCAGTATTGTTTCTTTACACATTTGGTTTTTTTTTTGGGGGGGGGGGGGTAGCAGAGTTCAGCATCCCTTCACTCATTCACTCGTTCCTTCATTTGTATTTGCCTTTCAGTGAGTTTCATGAAGCACTAGACACACAGAATGTAAATCGAAAGATATGCATTCTGTGGGTAATGGGGGGATGTGGGCTGGAGGTAGACCCTGGGCAGTGTGGGTGTGAGGAGGTGAGGTGGTGGAGGTGACCCTTGATACTGTGAACCCTGCTGTATAGTGATTTGCAATATACCCTAATTGTTTTTCCTTTGTCATTCCCTCTTTTTTTTTTTTTTTTTGTCCCTGTTAGCCCTAAAGTGGTGGGACAGCTGGCAGAGCAGATGATTGGTTATAATCTAGCAACCAAACAAACACCAAAAGAAGGTGTGAAAGTTAACAAGGTAATGTGGATGTTCTTATTCATTTCACATGCACTTAAAACAAAAGAACAGAGAGGTAGACTTGCTCTGACAGATTCTCATGAAACACTGTTCTTTGACAAGGTTTGTTTAGGGAGTGCTGTGTCTTGGAAGAAAGACCTGAAGGGCTGTGGACATTGACCCTTCACCAAAACCCAGTGAGGTGAATGAGCGGAGCAGCAGTTTTCCATTCAAAGTACAGATACATTCTGCTTAAAGCTGACAAGACATAGCTGGGCAGCCTTGCACTCTGTAAGCCTCTGGCTTCCTTTCCCATGCAGCCCCACCCTCAGTCCTTTCTATTAGAACTGCCTGTTGCAGTGGCTTTTCTTACAAAACACCTCATGCTTTTAAGCCACTTACTGCTACAAGTGTATTATTAGAGAAAACTGCTAGCAGTAAGCACGTATGGCGTGTGCACCCATGTGCATGCGTACATATGGCACATAGACATACAGATGAAGAGGAAGTAAAGCTCAAAGAAAAATGGCCTGCCTCTGCTGTGCAGTTGTGAATGTAGGAGCCAAGTCCAGGTTCTGCCTTTCCCTCCTCCCTGTTTTCAGCCTTTTGTTCCTGTCTTCATGTGTGAATCAACTGAAGCTGTCTGTTGTGTATACTCCAGTGCAAGATGAAGACCATGCAGAGACTCATGTACACAGTGTACTGTGAACTCATGAGCGGGGCCCCTTGAGTGTCACATGTGGCAACCCTGAAGACAGTATGGCTGGAAAGGGCCATCCTAACTGGGCCCCACTTTTTGGCCCTGCTCTGTTGCCATAATATGAGAGACTTACAGCCTCTCTCTTGTGCTTTACTTGGGGATCACTGAGTGGTACATTCTATTTTTAGTTTTATAGAACTTTAGAAAGTTCTTGACGTGGCCTTAGAAAGCTTGTCCTTATTAAATCATGGTAGAGTCAATCCTAGCCAAAATAGAGACACTGGAAAACAAGATATCCTAAGGAGACATTTGTGTCCTTCTTTGTGCCTCTCAGGCTATTGAAACAGTACACTCCAAGAACATGGAATCTCCTCAGGAATGTCATGCTGGGTGGGAAAAGGGAAAGGCCATACCTGGCTGCTGGGCTGGAGAGGAGCTGGTCTCCCAGGAAGGTTTCTCACAATCTGGAGAACAAGTTAGAGCACTCTGCCTTGATGTCATAGCTACTCAGACCGCTTGCTCTAAATTCATGTCAGGACCCAAAAGATGGGCTTGGGTGGGTGGGGTATGTTCTCTGTGTTCCTCTTCCAGTGTGACACATTGAATGAACATCCTCTGTGTCTCACTATTGTTTTTTTAATTGGCCCGTTGAGTCTTCATGCTGAGCCTAGCTTGTTAAGACAGCCAGTGCCTAGGATCATCATAACACAGCTCCAGTAACAGCAGGACTTTGGGATACTGTTAGGTCATTAGCTTCATCTATGGAAACACCAAGTCATCTCAAATGCTGAGAAGCAAACCCAAAAGCTGAGTGTTGTTTCATCTGTCTCTCAGGTGGATGGAGGCACTGTCAGACTGGGGTTGATTGGTTCCTGTTCACACTGGAACTCTACTTTTATTTCCTTTAAGTCTGATGATGAGTTGTCACCTGCATAACTTACTCAGGATTTGTCCATAGATAGCATAATTAGCACTGTGTTTGTAGGGAATTGTTATTTTAGGTGGACACATGGGACTGGAGATTAGAAGTTGTGAAACTTTTAAAAAGCATATAAGAATATCTACTCAAAGCAGATTTACACTATATAGTAAAAAAATTCTACAGAAAAGTGGCTTGTAGCTAAGTCCCTCACACGATGGAGATAAGCATGTTCTTGAGAAGCGAGGCATCGCCAGAAACTACTAGAGTAATTTATTTTTAAGTCTGTTTTCCCATAATTCAGTAACATGTAATAATTTCAATAGGATAAGAGTCAGAAAGTAAGAATTATGAGCTCCCATTCTGGAAGGAATTGCTGTGTACTATTTGTCTTCTTCTGATGTCTAGGCTGTATCATGTTTCTGTAACAGCATTCATGTGTTAATGCTTTTGTTCTGCTTCCTTGTTGGGATTGTGTTTTTGAGCTCAGGCTAGCCTCAAATTTGCTATGCAACAGAAAATGGCCTGTTTTTGTCATCTTCCTCCAAGGCGTGCTAAGCAAGTGACTGCATTGTTGCACCTTTCCCCAAGTCAGGACATCTGGTAATGTCTCCTTCCTCTCCCTCCTCCTCTTCTTCCTCCTCTTCTTCCTTCTCTTCCTCCTCTTGTTCTTCTTCTTCCTGGTCCTCTTCCTCCTCCTGGTCCTCTCCTCCTCCTGCTCCTTTTCCTCCTAGTCCTGGTCCTCTTCCTCCTCCTGGTCCTCTTCCTCCTGGTCCTCTCCTCCTCCTGCTCCTTTTCCTCCTAGTCCTGGTCCTCTTCCTCCTGGTCCTCTTCCTCCTGCTGCTCCTCCTCCTCCTCTTGGTCCTCCTCCACCTGTCTTCTTCTTTGCTAGAAGTATACTCTTCCAGTCACTGAGGGTAATTAGTATTTAACCAGCACTGTAATGATAGATATTTGTTTTAAGTGTTTCATAGACAATGTGACAGTGGAGATTCAGAATATTCTGACTTCAGGAAAAGCTGAAGGCTTCATACCTGACTGTTCCTTTCATTTTCAAGACAGACATCTGGAGAATCCATTGATGGCCCCAGATATAGTGATGGCCAGGTCTCACTTTCATCTTTCCAGGATATGTGGTGCCCACTGCATTGTCTCCCTTTAGCTGGGTTGAGTTCAAGGATTAAAGTCATCACACAGTATCTTTTGGGCCTTTTACTAGAGCCAAGATAAACAATATATTGAGTTATAGGCCTCCTGTGTTCGAGAACCTGCATAGGTTAATATTGGTCCTGAGATGCTCCCAGGTACCACAGATGGTGCTCAATTCCCTGATATCAGCAATGATGTTTCCTACAGATTCCTTCTTCCTTTTGCTGGTGTGTTTAGTGATGTTCCAGCTTTTCCTGGCCCATGCCTCATGTTGTTAGTAGCATGCTATATAAGAATGTTATAATTTAAATAAATTATTATACACCTAAATGCTTAGGTAAAATAAAATGCTGAATGCTTCTGTCTGTGTCCATGAAGACTGGTATAAAAGACTAGCACAACCTAGGTGAGCTCACCATATAGAAAGCAGAAAGTCTAAGTAAAGTCTCTCTTAGATTTTGTGTTTGGTGAGGAGAGGGTCAAATTTCTCTTGTGTTTCTGTATGATTGGAAGGCTGAGGGAGCTCTGAGTTCCCATTTAAAAGGGCACTAACCCCACTCCTGAGGTCTTTGCCATAGCCTGGCTTTAAATAGCATTTCAGTGGAAATGAGAGTACAGCACATGAATGCTGAGGAACATAAACCTTTCTAGAATGTTGTAGAAATTAAATTATACACTGTATAACCTTTGAGAATAGGCTTCTATCTGTGATATATGGAGATTGTGTCTTTTCATTGATATATAATATTCTGTAATATGTGTGTTCCACAGTTCCTTAAGTCATCATATATTAATATCTCAATTGTTTTAAGTTGCTCTGTTACACATTGAAGCATTCTATACATTTATGGACAGATTTTGGTGTAGATAGTTCTTTATTTGGCAGATGAATTTAGAATTATGTGTAGTTGTATGATCAGTTGATTTTTGTTTTATTTTGTTTTAGAAACTGTCAAATATTTGGCAAGTTGATGGTACCACTGTACAGTGCCATCTGTAATGTACAATGACTGGAGTTCTCCACATTCTAGTCAACATTTAGTAGTCATTGCTTAAAATTTGAGCCATTTTTGTAAATATGTAATGCTATTTCATCCTTATTTAAAATTCCATATCCCTTGAAGCTACAGATCCAGACACCTTTTCATTTGCTCATTTGTCACTGTCGGCTCTCCTTTAAGGCTGTGCTCATTGTCATTGCATTAAGAGGGACCAGGAGTCATCGGGGCTCACTCCTCAGCAATGATCTCGCCTTACATCGGAAGACTGACTGATGGGCTCAGCATAGGCTTGTTGCATCTGTACTGTGTTAGCAGGTTCTGTTGCTGTGATTGGCATCCTCATCTTAGTAGAGGAGAACATTTTGTAGAACAAAAATACTTCATTTTGATGAAGTCCAAAATATCACTGTTCTTTTGTGGACTGGGCTCTTGGTACATTCTAAGAACAAGGATTTCTGTTAAGTTTGTAATAGTTTTTCTTTTTTGTGTGTCGGCTTTTGAGTTACTTTTGATTAAGGTGACAGACTTAGGCCTGTGGTTTTTGTTTTTACCTTTGGATGTCCATTTGTATGTGTACTCCCTTTAAAATGATGCGTTTTCCCTTTATTGTATTTTATATTGACAAAAGCATTTGTGCCATTGTCAAAAATTAGCTGGCTGTATCTCCTGCTGCTAGCACTTAATTGTTGTAGCATGCAGTATGCTTTAATCTGTAGACACTGCTTTTCTCATTTCATTCCTTTGTTTTCAGTGTACTCTATTCCTGTTATTGTACCTTATCATATGCTTCTTAAAATAATCTTGTCTTAGTTAATAGAAAAAAAAATCTCTTGCTGAGCTTTCAATAGACATTGTCTTAATCTGCTATATTAGTTTGGGGAGAGTCAATGTTTGCTATGTTAAACCTCAGTGTCCATTAAAAAATGACTCTCTTCTTAGCTCTGCCTTTATTCTTGCTCTCACAGTTACATAGTGCTCAGAAAATAGGTTTGAGATATTTATATATTTTCAGATTTATACCTAATGTTTTCTCTTTTTTTTTTTCAGTAGCAATTATTACTGGGATTGGAGTTTTAATTTCACATATTCATTTAACTTTATTTGGACAGCATGTTCATTGTTGATGGTATTACTTGCTGCTGATGCTTGGTAGATGTCTGCCAAGAACCCTGTGACCCAGAGACTCCCTTGCCTGTGATTGTTGACATTCCTGGGTTATCAGTTCCTGCAGTATCTAGCCTGATTTACAAGGTGGAGCCCAGCACAGGGTGCTTCCTCATGTCTCACTTGCCAACAAGACTGCTTTCTCCTTTTAAGTTTTCTGGTTCTTCCTGTTTCTGTTGACTTAAAGTTTTATTTAAATGTAGTAGAGGGGTAAGGAAAATGTGTCAACTCCATATTCTCAAGAGCTAGGCTACAGGCTAATAGAAACATTCAATTTCTTAAGCTTATTAGAGGTGCTATTTAATTCATGCATATGTACGTGCGCGCGCAAACACACACACACACACACACATCAATAGCAGGAATTTTTCTCTGACTCTGTGCTATTGTGCTACATGTTGCTTGGGAGAGAAAAGGGTGTGAGGCAGCACTTCTCAAGAGATCCATGATCACTGTCATCAGTACCAGCTACTGCTCTATAGGAAATAGGAAATAGGAAATATGAAATCGGATGGTTTCATAGAATCTTAACTCTCTGCTGTTACGTTATGAATAGTTTACACATTGCTATTCAACTCAGACTTAAAATTTGAGTAGCAGGATATGAGGGAAGGAGGAGAAGAGATAAATTGGTCAAATCAAATAATGAAACTTAAGATATTTTGAATATCAGGGGATCTCACAAAAAGGCTATGTCTGTTGATAATCTTTGTAGAACTAAAATGAAAGTGTTTTGAAATTCATCTCCCTGAGCTTCCCTGGAGGTTAGTGTTATTCAGTCCACCAAATTTTTCTGTAACAATCCTTAAAATACTCTAGCATCCTGGGTCACAAAGATGGCTTTATAACACAAAAAACCATTGAGTCTTTATGTGAACTACTCATTACTTTCCTGCGGGATTTGTTTTGTTTTGCTTTGTTTTTTTAAAAAAAAGTAAAACATTATTTCTTCCAAGCAAGAACTGGTGGAGACAGCAGCTGGTCTTCACCAACTGAAGTCTGATAGAGTGCACAGCGTATCAGTTAGTGCTCCAAAAGGCAGAGGATACAGCTTGTGAATGACACTTAGCCTAAGAATTCGAATGCTGTATCACTTCTAAGACTACTCACAGTCATTGAATATCTCACTAGACCAACTTTGTATTAGACAAACTATGTGTTAGAAGTGAAGGATGGCAAGAGGGCGGGGGAAGGGGCTGAGAACACTTTTGCTTTTAAGTCATGGTCACATTCAGCAGCCCAGGCTAGCCTCAAACTGAATCTGCAGCCCAACCAGGACTTATCTTGGTGTCCTCCTGTCTCAGCCTCCTAAGTAGCTCCAATTACAAGCCTGTACGATCAGACCCAGTGGCTGCATTATTTTCAACGACCAAATATTATGTTTATTTGTAGAGAGTATAATATAAAATAAAATAAAACAGAGCTATGCAGGACACAGAAATGTATAAATATATGCAACATCAGTATATTATATAAAAAAAGTCTCTTATTTGTAGCCAAACTTAGTTTTGTACCAGTATAATAATGCATATGTACTGTTAATGTGTCAAATTAAAACAGCTGCTTCACTGGAGGCTTTCTCAAATGACACAGATTTACCAGAAAGAGAAACTGAGATGGGAGTTGGATGGTTCCTGGGGCAAACCAGATACTTGAGGATTTAACAGGGTTAATTAAGGCGCTGACACTATGTCTTATGCACCTCGTAGACTCCCCAGAGCTTTGGACAATGATCCATGGCATGACAGGAGCCTAGAAACAAATGAGGCTGTTGGTTTTGTGTTTGTGTGTTTGTGTGTGTCTGTGTGTGTGTTAAATTTCAAAGCTCAGATGTACTCTACACAAAGTTAACTGGACTTCTCATTCTTGTGATCATAGGTGATGGTTGCTGAAGCCCTGGATATTTCTAGAGAAACTTACTTGGCCATTCTGATGGACCGGTCCCATAATGGCCCTGTGATAGTGGGCAGTCCCCAGGGGGGCGTTGATATTGAAGAAGTGGCAGCTTCCAGTCCAGAACTCATCTTTAAGGTATGTTTTATTAGCCAGCCATGTAACTGATTGTTAGAGTACTAACTGTTCAATATTTGTTGTGGAGTCTGAGGCAGGGAGCACTGGACCTGTTGCTGAGATGTGAGGTGAAGATGCTGAATCTCCTCAGGCAGAACTGAAGTGTCTAATATTCAAAGGCTTTTCTTTCCTTTCCTCTCCCCTTCTCTCCTCCCCTCCCGTACCTTCTCCTCTCCTCTCCTCCCCTTTCCTTCCCTCTTGTCTCCCCTCTCTTCTCCCTCTCCTCCCACTCTCTTCCCCCTCTCCCTTCTCCTATCCTCTCCTCTCCTCCCCCTCCTCTTCCCTCTCCTCTCCCCTCCTCTCCTTATCTTCTGTCCCCTCCCCTTCCCTCACCTCTCCTCCCCTTCTCTCCTCACCTCTCCTCTTCCCTCCCCTCCTTTCCTTTCTCCTCTCCTCTCCCCTCCCTTCCCCTCTTCTCTCCTCTCCTCTCCCCTCCC